TCCCGCAGGTCGGCGAAGAAATCTTCCCCGCTGCCCACYGCCTTGCTGCTGAGGGCGCGCAGCGCCCCGCCCTTCTTCTTCTTCCGGCGGTAATCATCGACCACCATGGACCCGAGAGCCGATACGTCCCAGAACTTCACCTTCTGGTCGTGGGCGCTGCTGGCCAGGAGCTTCCCGTCCGCAGCCACGGCCAGCTGCTCGATGGGCTCGCCCAGGTGCTGCCCCACAGAGCCCAGCACGCGGTTCGGCAGCACGTTCACCGCCCTGGGCATGGACAGGGGCACTGAGGGCCGGCAGCACCCGGGGACACCGCCTGCCCTTCCCGTCCTGAGTCCTGAGCAAGGCTGATCCTTCCCCATCCTATACCACACCTCCCACTCCTCTCCATCCCCTCCCATACCACACCCCAGAGTTCCYATCTCACCCCCTCCCCATCCCACGCCACCCCATCTCTATCCCACCCCCTCCCTACCCCATCCCTCCTGCTCCCGTGCCTTTCTATCCCTCACCATTCCACCCCAGCCCATCCCACGCCTCATCCCTGCCCACCGAACACCCCTGACCTGATGACTCCATCCAGGGACCCCACGCACACGATGCTGTCCGTGATGGGAACCATGCAGTCAATGGTCTCTGCCCTCAGCGCAAAGCGGTCACTGGCGGCCCCGAAGCCATCCCARTTGAAGAGGTAGATGGTGCCTTCACTGGAGCCACATGCCACCTTCCTCCCCCTCTAGGCATGAGAGAAGGCAGTGAGGCAGGGGCACAACAAGAAACTCAGGRGTCATGGGGTCCTGCTCCGTGTTGGGGAGCAGTGCCTACCTTCATCAGCACAACAGACGTCAGGTCCCCATTCTGAGGCTCTGAGAGCAGCTCAAAGCGCCGTCTCTTCACATTGTAGACGCCCAGGGTGCCATCGCCACTGTGGGACATGGAAGGGACACATTGTGAGCACAGGACAAGGCACGGGGCACTTCCCCCAGCCATGAGCGAACACGGGGAGCCCAACCCCGAGACTATGAAGCCCCTCTGGTACCAGGCTGTCAGCAGGATCTTCCCGTTGCCATCCACAGTCATGGCACTGATGTATTCCTCCTGCTGCCGTGCCTGCAGGATGGCATCGCCCTTGCGCAGGTCCCACACCTTCACTGTCCCGCCGTCGTCACCCGTGGCAAAGACATGGTTGTCGATGGGCAGCACGCAGTTAAGGGCCGACCTGCAGAGACCCCGGCCCCACACCCACCCTGTCACGGCTCCGAGCTCCCCCTGCCCGGCCCAGGGCTGTGTAGCCCTGCCGCGGGAGGGAAGGGGACAATGTCCCAGCCGTTCTGCCCGGAAGGAGCCCCCTGTGTGGACTTACTCGTGGGCCTTGGGGAAGCGCGTTTCCAGCCGTCCCTCCTCCGCTGTYAGGATGTGGATGGACTTGTCCTTGGACACAGTGAAAAGCTCTGGAGAGCCGCGTTAGTGCCCCCCGCCCGGCATCCCCCGGTGCCACCCCACGTGCCCCGCACTCACTCTGCCCGTCCTGGGAGAACGCCACGTCCCGACACGACTTGAGGTGATGGCCCGAGGACCAGAGCTGCCGGTTCTCCCCCTCGGTGCACGAGTACGAGTACCTGCAGGCACGGGAGTGCTCGCCGGGATCCGCGGGTGGCCGGGGAGCTCCGCCGCCGGTACCCAGCGGGCCCCAGAGCCGGGCCCCSTCCCCAGCCCCCGGCCCCACTCACAGGTACACATCGCCGTCCACGTCCCCCGCGGCCAGCAGCGGCCGCTCCGGGTGCAGCGCGATGGCGTTGGCCGTGGCCTCCAGGCAGATGTCCTCGGGGGTGTCCAGCACACGCGGCTCCCGCRCCGCCGGCTCCGGCGAGTCCTGGGGAGAGCGGGGCCGTGGGACCGGGGCCGAGGAGTGCGGGGTCCCGCAGCCCCACGCGTGCTCACCTCCTCCATGGCGGCCGCCATGGCGCCCTGCTGATTTGCATGGTCACGCCTACATTCGCGTAAGCCACGCCCCTTTGGTTACATAGGGCCGCCCTCCCGCGCCTCCCCAGCGCTGCGGGGTGACAGCGGCTCGGGGTGACAGCGGCTCGGGGTGACAGTGGCTCAGGGTGTCATTAGCTCGGGGTGACAGCGGCTCGGGGTGACAGCGGCTCGGGGTGACAGTGGCTCAGGGTGTCATTAGCTCGGGGTGACAGCGGCTCGGGGTATCACCAGCTCGGGGTGACAGCGGCTCGGCGTGTCACCTGCTCGGGGTGTCACCAGCTCGGGGTATCACCAGCTCGGGGTGACAGCGGCTCGAGGTGTCACCGGCTCGGGGTGTCGCGCCCCACCGGCGGGTTCCAGCCCGCGGGTGCCCGTGGCCCAATTTCATCAGGTCGCTCCCCATCCGCCTCAAGTGTTCCGCCTCTTCACCAGTGAGAGCTCCACAGGCTCCTTAATTCCCACCAGGGGCTCACTAATTCACACCCAGTGACCTCCTCTCTCTAATCGCAGGGGAGGGGGCGATCGGGGGCAGATGGCACTTTGGCCCCTTGCAGGAYCTGGGGCTTGCAGGGCCCCCTAAGAGACCAGCCCAGCCAGGGACCACCARCAGCACCCCTGCACCGAGAGGCCATCCCAGCTCCCTGCTGCCCT